GGCCCTGTCCCCCCAGGAGGAAGGTCGGGTGGGGGTAACCCTGAAATGAGGGTGTGCCAGCCCCAGCTCTGCCCTGCAGTGCCCAGAGCCTTCTCCACACACTGGATGCGAACMGGCACCTCTGAGCCACGAACCAGCTCCTCAACAAAGTCGGCCCTGGCCAGCAGGGTCGTGACCCGCAGGACTGGAACTGCAGGACTAGGGGTTCACAAGTGCTCAGCGCCCMCCCCCCTGCCTTGGCCTCCCAAGATGGAAAGAGGAAGGGCCTGGCCCAAAGCCGCCCAGCGGGAGGCAGCAGGGCTGGCATTTGAACCCCAGCTGCCACACCACAGAGCCAGAAGCCAGGACCCCTGCTCCTTTCTGACCCATCCTGCCTCGCTCCATGGGYCCCTGGGCCCGAGAGCTTCTGTCCCAGGGAGAGGACTGCAGGGCAGCTGACCGACCACACCCCTGCCCCTCCAGAGCCGGTCCACCATCCTTCCTCGCTGGCATCCGTGGAGCTAGTGAGAACCACAGGCCAAGGAAGGAGGAGCCCAAGTGGTGGCAGAAGAGGCAGGGAAGCTTCATGCAGGCGCCGCATGTGACATGGGGACACAGAGAGGCAGCAGTGGTGGTCATCTTCCCCTCCACCCAGCAACCAGCAACCAGCAACCACCTGCCCCACCTGAAGATGCTGGTTCTGGAAGGCTGGGAGGGGAGCCCGGGAATCCCTGGGTGGTCCTCTCCTGMTGGTCTGAGGCTTATATGCTTTGAAAGTAAATGGAGCACCTCCACCTCTTAGCAGCTGTTGGTCTTGCTGAGGCTGGTTAGAACTTATGATCCTCCTGCCTCAGCCTCCGCAGCTGATGGGATTCCAGGGGTGCACCTGGTGCCCAGCAGACTTCTTAAGTTCTCTCGGTCTCTCTCAGTAAGACAAGGCTCGAGACCCACTTTTTTTAAATTGTTGGGCTTTTGGGGCCCAACTTTCAGCYGCAGTAGTGGTAAAGAATATGCCTTGTCAATGAAGAACACGCAGCCTGTGTGTGCTTGGAACTGGGGTAGAATGGTCCAAAAAAGATGGAACCGGCTCCAGTGGTCGGGGAACAGCTACCACCCAGCGGCCCAGGCAGGGCTGGCTTCCTGGGCAGTCGACCTCTAACTCTAAGGCTMGGCGCCTCTCGGGGCTCCCTCCGCTCACCGAGGTCGGGAGGCAGCTCAGCCACAGCTCCAGCCTCCCTGTCTGGCCTCACACCTCCCTGGCTGGCAGGACTGAGTCATGGAAAAAGTTAGCACTCYAGGCTGCAGCTCACCTCTCCCACCAAGCCCACAAAGGCCCCTTTCACATTTTCTGGAGGGGAGTGCAGACAGTGTGGGGCCCTCCTCCCAGGCCTGGACATGAAATTTCAAACTTCACCCTGGGTGAGATTCTGTACCTCCCGCCCCGAGGAAACTGAGAGAGGAGGGGTACCACGGGTGGAGGATGAGGGGACTGGGAAGGATGTGTCCCGTGCAATTCTCACTGAAACCACAAGGACCCTTAGGCCTGGCCTGCTGACCCTGCACACCTCCAGTCTGGTGCCCCTGGACCCCATCTTCCCTGGGATTTGTGGGGTGTTTACGGTCGTTCTTATTCAGGAAATGGCTGTCCGTCAAGGTAATTCTAGCCCCAGTGCTCCTCCCTGGCAGCTGATGCTGGGGGAGTCTGAGGCTCACAGGAATGCCAAACCACACTCCACATCCTGAAGGTGACCCTAGCAGAAATAGAGCCACCACCTACCGCTGGCTGTCCCTAGGGTCTGCCATTCTCTTTTGATGTGTTCACAGAAAACTTCATCCCAAACTCGATGGGAAGCACCTGTGTGGCCCTGATGGAGTCACAATGATCTACTGAGACTGTTTCCTGCTGCACTGGGTGGCACAATGACACCTACCTCCCCAGGCTGCTAGGGGAATTAAAGGAGAAAATGTGTGCAGGGCCCATGTGCTGGTCCATTTGGGTTCTCAGTCTCCTTCCCCCCACRCCACCCTCCATCCCAATCACACATATCCCCAGAGATATAAGTGGGACCTAGTGGTCACCCAAATGGTCCAGCATCAGACAGCACAAGGTAGCTGCTTGGGGTAACCATGCTTCTGTAGATGGGTTGCAGGATGATACCTCCGTGCTTTGGTGTTTTCTGCCATGAAAAGGTGAAGGGGGCTAAGATCTTTGCAAGTCCTTTTAGACTCAAGGTGTTAACTTTACGTGGAGGGAATAAAAGCACAGTTGGACCGAAGAAGGACTGCGGTCAGCTGAAAGCTTGGGCAGCTTGGATGTGTAGTGTCTGACACTGGCCACTAGGCGGCTCCAAGGATAACAGATGAGCACAGAGTCAGGCACAGTCTGGGGGGTACCCAGCTTTGAGTCCTCTTCAGAGGCCTGGTGGGTCTGTCTCTGCCAGGCTGGAATTTCTGTCCCAGTTTTATAACTTCAAAGATGGAAAAAAGCAGTCCCCAGACTGCATTCCCGCCTTTAGTGGGGTGCTGGGAGTCGAGGAAGACAGTGGGCTGCCCTGGGCCATCCTCTTGGAGGGCGGGGTGGAAGCAGCCCTTGGAGCCTGGGAACCTGGTCCTCCCCCTCCCCCTTCCCTCTGGCCAGAGTGGGGTGGGGTGGGGAGAGGAATGAAGTCTGGATTTGGATCCCTCCATGCTGCACTTCCTGGCTGGGTAACCTGGAAAATGGACTGTGGGTGCCGCWGCTGCAAGGTCAGTGGGAGGATTACGTGTGAGGACACAGGCCCTCGGTGGARGGCGTGGAGTTCTGACCTTCCACTCCCTTTTGCTCTTCCAGCAGTTCCCATTCACCCCGAAGGAAGGAAGATCTTCACCTGCCACACTTCTCCCCAGAACCACAGTGCCTTTGCTGGTGAGAAGGTGGTCCCCAGTCCTCTCCTCCCCAAATCAGCATTTCTCAAAGTGACTTTCTCACCCACACAGAGCATCCATCCAAAGATCCTACTCCCGTGCACCCAGACCTGCTGAATCAGAACCTCTGGAGCTGAGGCCCAGGCCTCCCAGTCTGAACAAGTCTCAGACTGGAAAAGGCTGCCCCAGATTACAGGGCAGCTCCCTGCTCACTCTCCCTCCTCAGCCCAGAGACGTGGAGAGGGGGCGGGAGGCAAGTCCCATCAGCACTTTTAACTGGGGCTGCTTTTTCGGGTGACTCACCTCCCAGACTTCCTCCAACAGACAACTCTAAATAGCTCAGTCCCACCCTCCAGCAGGGAGACCTTCTTGCTGGGAAAGGCAGAAGATAGCAAGGTGGGTGCCAGACACCCCAAAGGCGACCCAAAGAGAGGAGCTGCTCCTTGCTCAGCCCAAAATTCGGGTTTAAGATGTTTTGTTTACAGTCTTTTGTTATTAAGGAAATGGCTGTCAGTCAAGGTAATTCTARCCCCGATGAGCAATAAATATGCTCCCAGCTAATCTTATGGGGATTTTATTGGCACCTGGGGCGGAGGTTCCTTTACCCTGCCCACCCCCACCCCCCAAAACAAAACCCTGCTTCCCAGTGGGTCCCCCCACCCGCTCAAGCAACGTGTGAGACTTGGATCAGACTTAGAAAGTACACTCTGTAAAGATAGAGGGCGTCTGGGCAAAGATGGGGCGTGGCTTCCTGGTTGTACCTGGAGGCAGGGGATGACCAAGTGACCTGAAATAAACTCTAGGCGACCTGGTTGGATCGAGGCATGCGCGAGCTCCCTGGAGCCTGCCCCGCACGCTGGGGTGGTCACCTGGCCCGGGCCAAGAAGAATGTCTCTGGGAGGAGCCGGCTCGCTGGAGTCGGTTCCAGCGTGTTCGAGTTCCAGCTGCGAGCCCTCAGGGACACCGGCGGCAAGTCCCGGCTTGCAGAGACAGGAGCCCGTCCCAGGAGTGAGCGAGTCGCAGCGAGCCCGTGTGCGCGCCCAGGCGCGCGCCCCGCGACGGCGCAGGGGGAGGGGAGGTCGCTGCAGCCACTCAGAGGAACGGTAGTGAAGCCTCGGAACAACTTTAACTGTCAATCAGACTTAATGGGGTATTAAAAAAAAATGGGGGGTGGGGAGGGCCGCCCTCTTGCTCCGCGCCGCAGCTGCCCCAGGAGCGAATGAATAACGCCGCGCAGACGATCCACTCATCTGATCCACGCGCGCTCCACGCCCGGGCCCTCTCCAAGTTGGAAAGGACAAAAAGAAGGCAATAAATCTAAAAGGAAGAGAGAGGGAACCGGATTGAGCGGCAACTCCCAGCCTCTGCTGGAAGAGAGGGAGGGAGCCGGAGAGAGCGAGCGAGCGCGCGCGAGGGCGAGCCCTGCACGTAAAGAAACTGACACCCGGACCCCCCACTTCTCCTGCACGTTGCTGGCAATCAGATCGCGTTTAAGCAATTTCCTGAGCCCAAGAATAGCAATGAGTCGGGAGACTTTCGCGGGCTGAAATTGGGAGCTCCAAGCACTTTTCCCCCACTTTTTTTTTTCCTGGAGAAGGGGGCGCGCTACAATTTGGAAACAGCTTTTTTTTTTTTTTTTTTTTTAAATCTTGCACTTTGAAACCGCGGGACTGTGGCAGGGTGCGCGCGGGTGGTTGGTGCCTTTTTTTTTTTTTTTTCCCTGCCTAAACTCCTCTGTCAGTCTGTAAACATTACCTGAGAATTCCCCAGCCGGCACGGCTGCTAGGGCAAGAAACTTCTTGTTAGAACTTCCCACCTCCGGCTTCCCCTCCACCCCTCCACGGTCCCAACCTTATAAGACGCTTTTTCTCCTCCCGAGGATTCATCCTTTTTTTTTTTTTAAGTCCCCCCCCACCACCAACTTTTCTCAGCCTGCTTTGCATTTGTGGAAAGGTCATTTCAAGAGTGACCAGGTGGGACGCCTCTCTTTTTTATTCGGTTTATTTATTATTGTTTTGGGGTGTTTTCTTTTTTAATTCCTGTTTTGTTCAGTCCGGGGAGTTTCGCCCCCTGCCCGGCTCCGCGGCGCGGAGGATGGTGTGGAAATGGCTGGGCGCCTTGGTGGTGTTCCCTCTGCAGATGATCTATCTAGTGGCGAAAGCAGCCGTCGGACTGGTGCTGCCCGCCAAGCTGCGGGACCTGTCGCGGGAGAACGTCCTCATCACCGGCGGCGGGAGAGGCATTGGGCGCCAGCTGGCTCGCGAGTTTGCAGAGCGCGGCGTCAGAAAGGTACGTGGGCACCGCGACTCCGGGGAGTGGGCGCTGAGGGCCAGGGGCCCTTGGCGCGGGGTGCCCCCACCTGCTGCGGCCGCCCCGATCCCTCGCCTGGGAGCTGAGTGTCTCTGGCCACCCCACTCCCCTGCGCCTCACGCAAGCGCTGAGCTCCTCGGTTTCACCTTGTGGATTTCCCGGCACCAGACTGTCTATTTTGGCAGRTCCCGAGCTCTTCGGCTCCTGGGGGATCGGTGGCTGGCTGTTTGCCCCCATCCCGAAACTTAGGAGACCCACCCATTATCCACGTGTTGTGATCCCCCTTAGCCTTCCCCCCCTAGTGCCACCACCCGCTGAGTTCAGGGTGTGCGCGCTCCCTGGTAGAGCGGGGAGCCGCCTGCTAGTTGGCTCGGTGTTTTCCTTGGCAACCCCCTTCCCAGCCCCAACCTGGCGGACTGGACTGCAGCTCTAACGACACTGGAGAGGGGGGGGGTACTTGGTTTGGGCTTGTAAAGGAAGGAGAGGGTCTTGGCAGCACAGGCACTAGAAGGCCCAGGTGGAAATTAGGACAGAGGAGGAGGGGGTAACCAGCAGCTGATAAAGAGCCCTTGTTCTCACCTTCGACCCTGCCCCCTCCCCCAACACAGCCTTGGGGAGGTGGCACCGAGGGGAGGGTCCTGCTCGCTGGGCACTGCCTTTAATATTTTGGGGGTCCCAGCACCTCCTGTTTCAGTTTTTGGAGACCTGGTGCTGCAGAAGTGGGGAGAGTGAGCCGCTGTCACCCCAGTCCCAACTCAGCTGGGCTGACTCACCCAGTGACAAGAGCAATCGAGAGAGGGATTTGAGGCCGGCAGGCCAGGCCGTCTCMAGCCAGCCCTGTGAAGAGGAAGAGCGAAAACAGGGAATTAGTTTGAAACTTAAACTGTTGTGAACCAGGGGTCGAGAGGGCCAGCAAAGCCAGCTGATCTGACACGGAGCCACATACCTTGGGGATTAAGTAAATATGTACTGTAGAAAACCGAACCTGCATGTAATTCCAGGTTGCTTTTGTTTTGTTAAATACTGCCCTGAGATTTACAATCCCTCCGGGGTGGCTCGGACTGGGACTGAACTTCGGAGTCTGAACTATCGGCCAAAGCTGATTGCCGATTAACTCTTCCTTAGCCGGGCTGGCAGGGCCTGTCACCACCAAGCTAGTGGGGGACCAGCTGTCCACGACTCCCTCTTCTCCTTGGGTGGCTTGGACAGCTGCTTGACCTTGCCGTTGGAAGGAGAGTTCGGAAGTGTTTTTAACCCTTGGACGTGCGAGTAAGAGGAAGGAAGGGTTGCTCTCAGCAGTTTCACTTCCTTCCCTGGATGCCTCAGGGCAGGGCTCCTGCCTGAACCCCTGGCAGAGCCGGGATCCATGGGAGGGCAGACTGGGGAGGGAATTGTTTGGGACAATTGTGTGYGATTGTCATTCCTTAGCTGTCCACAACCCACAGAGGCTTCTGAATCTTCCAGCTGGCCCAAGTCCTGAGGCTTGTAACTGACTGCAGTAGGCTTGGGGAGTTCTTGGTCGACCTGGAAAAACTTGACTGACTATAAACAATCCTACATGAAGGAAGGCCATGGCATGGGAGGGGGTATAACGTGCAGGTGGGGCTGCCAGTTCATGCACTGGAAGCCACGGCCCCACCTGCCTTGGAAAGGGACACCCTCTTCCAGGAAATAAGCCTGGGGCCAATTGCAAATGTGTCTTAAATTGGTAGCAGGCTCACCCAAACCGGACCCACAGGGCCCTGCAACTTCCCAGTGCCATTCATACTAGGGTCAGTCATGGACCTGGCAGGATGACCACGAGGGCTCCCTGCAGCTCATAATGATCTGACCCATTACTGGGGCTGCTTTCTAATGAGCCTTTCGCTTGCTGTCATGGTGGGCAATTTGGAATTCCAGCTTCTTGCCAGAGTGCATCTGGGGCCAGTGAGTGGACTTTGGGACAATCCCCAGGGCCAGGAGTGTTTCGAGGTTCGATGGCCTTGGGGACAAAGGACCAAGTGTTGTGGGAGTTGGGAATTTACAAAAGAAACAGCTGAGTGGGCTGGGGACAGGTGTGAATAGTGAGCTTGAGGGTCGCCCAGGAGCACTGGGCAGGGCTGGCACTTTGGCCTGCGTTGCTGGTGGGCAGGTGGCTTTCCCTGAGAGCCCTCCCTGCCTGGGTTCTGGTGGGAGTGAATCTGGAGGAGAGAGGTCCCCAAAGGGGAAAGAAAGGAGGCGTATCAGTGCCCCTCCAAACACCTGACCTGTCCAGGAAGAGGGGGGTGACAACCCAGTTTCCATAATGGCCTTGAGTGAAGCGATTTGGCGACATTTGTGGGTGGTAGAGAGTCCCAGGCTGCAAAGCTGATCCAAAAGAGGATTTTCTTAAAGGAACACAGACGCTTCAGAGTTCCAAAGTTCCTAAGCGGGAAAACAGCAACCCTCACCCACAAGAGGATTATCCAGAGGTAGGAGACTGGGCCATTAGGGTCTCCAAGGGGAAGGCACTTGCTAGGTCCTTCCTGCTGCATCTCTTTTTAATTTTCTGTACCCTCCTGGAATTCAACAAAGCTTTCACAAAGCTCAGACCCACCCACTGTCCCTGACCAGTCCCCATGGTCTTTGACTTGACATGGTTTTAGCAGGCGCTCCTGGGAGGAGGAATGGAAGGGGCTGTGGACTGTCTGTGGCTACTGTGGCTTTTCCAGCCTTTGGTCCAGTGTCAGGCAGGTGGCTGATGAGAGCCCTGGGCCTGTGGCTGAGGGGCACTCTGTGTGGGCCCAGTGCCAGGCTGGGGACTTCAGGGCCTGTTTGGGAGATGGGTGAAAACCCTCATATCTGCATTCGCAGTGCGTGGCCTGCAGCCCTGTGTCTGGGCCCAGAACTCGTCCTTCAGGAATGCTCCCCCATTCTGCAAGCCCCCTGTCCTTCCCACTCCTCRCCCTGGAGGCTGCCCAAGCCCCTCATGCCCTTGACAGTCCCCAAGAGACTCCACTCCCAAGCCTGTCCACAGGGTCTGGCGAGTGTTGGCCCAGCCCTGGGCCTCTTGTGGTGCAGCAGAGATGAGCAAAGGGGGGAGACAGGGCTTACAGCAGAAGCCCAAGACTGTGTGTGTGTGTGTGTGTGTGTGTGCACACGCGCGCGCACATGTGCAGGTTTCCTGTGGCCTCTCTAACAAATTACCACAAACCGGGCGGGCGGGTGGCTTACTGACAATAGGGGACTTGGGGAAGGATGTTTGTCCTTGTCCCAGGTTATCTCAGCCTTTCCTGCCGTCATCGGATCCCACTAAGTGAAAAAGAAGCAGCTCTGGGCTGGAAAAGACTCAGTGCCCCCACTCCGTGGGACACCCACAGCCACTTCCAAGTCCTCTCAGCAGCCACCAGGTAGCTGTCTGCCTGCCAGTGATTTATTTCAGTTCTTGTAGACTATTTTCATCCTGCAGTGCCCATGAAACTGAGGGGGCCCTGGCTCCCTGGCCGGCGTATTCGAGTTTCCTGGTTGGTTTTTTTTTTTCTTTTCCTGTTCTTTTTTTGTACCAGGTATTGAACCCAGGGAAAATTAACCACTGAGCCACATCCCAGCTCTTTTTATCTTTTAGACAGAGTCTCACTAAGTTGCTGGGGCTGGCTTTGACCTCAAGGTCCTCCTGCCTCAGCCTCTCCGAGTCGCTGGGATTACAGGTGTGTGTACCGCGCCCCTACTCTCTGTGATTCCTGTTTGGACTTCAAGTTCTTCTATTTTTTTTTTTTTTCCCTAGACTAAGTGCATTTGTCGCTGGCTGCACAGGGCCCTTCTGACGATTCAGATACGAGCCCGCTCACATTTATCTTTACGGTTACTTTCTCTGCTCCGTTTCCATCTTATTTGTTTGAAGTCACCACTTTGGGAGAATGACCTCGGCTATGTTTGTGAGGAGGGGTCCCTTCTACCCAGGACATCCCRGAAGGCCTTAGCACCACCATCAAATACTACACAGTTTTGAGTGCAGTATTTTAGTACATTCATTTGCAGTCAACGCCAAGGAGAAGGCAAATGCGGGAAGGAGGTCAGAGGTGGGCTAGAATGGAGGCCCAGAAGGTCACACTGAGCCAGGGACATTGAGGAAAGGTCCCAGGAAAGGGGCATTTTGGGCAGAGGAAGGAGCAAAGCCACAGAAAAGGGCGGGTACCGGGTATTGGGGACCTCAAAGCAGCCAACATGGCTGGAGCAGGGGGTAAGGGGTGAGGGGGAGGCAGGAAGGGCAGAACCGGTGGCTGATGGTCAGAGCTGTGGGTCCCGCAGACCAGGACTGGCTTTGGCTTTGACTTTGAGTGCAGTTGGAAGTCTGTGCAGGGTTTGGAGTGGAGCAGTGACGTCACCCCAGCCTTCGCAGGAGTCTCACCCAGGAGTGTCATCCCAGCCTTCGCAGGAGCGCCTGTCTGGTGGAGTGGGGAAGCAGATGGGGGGTTGGACCGGGCAGCTGGGTTTCTGTGGCTCCCGGGAACCTCACGACAGTGTGGCTTCATCTCCTTCTTTGAGCTCAGGGCTGTGCTCTTATTATCGCACTGGGATTGTAGAAGAGTCGAGGGCTCCTCCAGAATCTTCCTGGTCAAAGCCGCTGAGTGGGGGTGCGGGTGGCCCCGAGAGCCGTGGGCACCCAGGCCTGGAGCCGGGTGTCTGCTGGGTTGCCCTGCCCTCCGCAGGGTCCTGGTCTGTTCTTGTTGGAAGTTGGGTAAGCAGTGACAACCCACTGCAGGGTAACCCAGCTCTGAGGGCTTGTGACATGTCACTTCAGCCATTGATTTAGCAAACTTGGCCTTGGAGATGCCGCAGGGAACCACGGAAACCGAGTTCTCTCCCTGTGGCCCTTGGCATTCCTGGAGTAATGCCCATCCCCAGGTTCAAAAGCTCTCGTTGCTTTGGGAGGGGTCTTTTAGTGGCAATAAAGCTTAACTCCCCTGAAAGTACCATAAAACCCACTGTGTCGTGCAGCGGGTGAAACCSTGTATTTCAGTTGTGTTTGGTCAAAGAGCTTTTGGACCTTTGACTCAGTGTCGTTCGAACTTTGAGAGTGTCCCTGGGCAATTGAAGGTGTCCAGGGGGCGGGCCCAGGAGGATACGGACTGGAAGCCACCACTTGAGCTGGGTGGCAACTCCATGGGAGTTTAGTTGTCTACGTCAGAGGTGGGAGATGACATCAGCTGCCTTCCAGTATGGGGGAGGCCTGGGGCCTGTTCCAGAAGGTTCTGGAGGGGAACTCAGCAATGTAGACCTGGCCCTGCCTTTGGAGGCCGCTCTTAGGTTCTGGATGACCTGGCGAATCCCCTGCACTCCTCAGATTCCATGAGTCATCATCCCCAGAGTGACATCTGAGACAGGAACCAGGACAGAAGTGGGTAGGGGGCAGAAGGAAGAACGGACCCCAGCGTCCACCAACCAAAACTTAAAAATGAAGGGAAGATGACCCTTCTCCGMTTGACCTTGCCAGGTCTACACTGTCTGTCCCTCCTTGATCCGCGTTTTCCAAGGTGCTGGAAATGACAGGTGGGAGGAAACAGGGCCAGGCGGGCACACTCACGTCCTGCACCTGACTTGGACCCCTGCAGCCCCCAAAAGTTGGTGTCCTGAGGCTGGGGTGGGCCACACAACTGTGGTCGTGTGCGTGGCTGGCGATGATCATGATCCTGGACATGGCTGTGGCGACGTGTGGCTGTCACAACATAYATGAGAGGGGTGACATGCAGGCCTCAGGGCTCTGCAGGATGGCCTGGTCCTCCTGACCTGGGCAGGCGTGGCTGGCCTCCTCTCTGAGAGGCAGGAGCAGCAGGCCCCTCTAGCACCGCCGAGCTTGGCTGGAGGCTGACTCTGGACCCAGGATTCCTGGCCTCAGAACCAGAGCTTTCCCCATGGGGACAGATAATCTCTGCCTGGCCCAGCCTGCCTCTTTCAGGGTTATGGAGAGGTCAAGAGACAAACTATTAAATCCTGGAGCCTGGTACACAAAGGGCTCTGGAGAGAAGTTTGATAAGCAGTACTTGAGTCAACAGGACGCAGGCAGGGATGCAGCTAAATCCGTGTTTACACAAATATTCCTCAGGGCGCCCAGTGGCAGTATTTGCATACAATGAATGGGATGCTGGCCAGAGGATTAAGGTCACCAGCAGCTACCAGGGTGTATTTTAAAGGGTCAGCTGATAGGAGAGCAGCACAGTTGAATTTCTTTCTTTTGACAACTAGTGTTTCACCTTAAAGA